TACAATTAAATCCTCTGTCGGGAAAAAACGAAATTACTTTCCGAACAATTATTAATATATATATTGTGGATCGACATTAATGGTTCTAGGATTCCGGTAAAGCCCGTAACAGACTACGGATTGGAGATTGAGATTGAATTGAAAAGTAGCCAATCGGTGCAAAATTCACTAAGTTTCATTAAACTTGAGTTTAGTTAACTTTGTGCTGATTGGTCAATTTTAAATTCAATGTCAATACCCAATCCGTAGTCTACAGGTTTTAAAGAGGATCCCCAACATTAGTATTAATTATATAAAAGACGTGGATTATGGAAAATACGTTCCGTCGAGACTGAACGACTTCGTCGAAAATACGCGGTTCCAACCAACGAACAAAAAGGCCTCGAAAGCATTCACCGGCTGCCGAACAAAGATTTTCGAATATGTTCTCACCAGCTAACGGAAAAAGGTTCGAGCAATCGGAGACGCTTGATTTGGTGTGATCGATTACTCGAACTCGTATCGAGCTCGATTTATCTCGACGGGAGATAGCTCGAAGCTAAACATCGGACGAGCGAAAATTTCGGGTACGCGCCAGCTAGCTCGCAACCACTGCCTGCGGGGACAATACGTGCGTTTGTCTCATTTTAAATGCGGGTTACGTGAAGAGCGCAGCCGGAAATTGTATCTGGCCACAGCAGTGGCTCTCAATTCTCCTAACCGGCCGGCGCGCGCGCCACAGAGCGACCGGAGGCTCCTGGCGTCGCACTGACATGACAACAAGTAATTGTTTTTATTGACAGAGAGAGAGAGAGAGAGAGAGAGAGTGTGCGATAATGTGAGGTAGTTGCGGTGTGTTTCTGTGCGTAAGAGAGCGCGGCTGGTCGGCAAGTGAGATCGCGAGGCCGTCGCGGGCCACGCGAGAAACCGCGGCGTTCCGCGCGCTTCATTCAGTCAGGGGCAGATTTTTTCTGTCAAATTTGGCGAGCTCGCGAGTAATGCAGGTTATGTGAGCTCGCCGAGCCCGCTTCACGTCGTCGCCGCCGACGCCTCTCGTCTGAGGGTGCGCGATGGGCCAGGGTACGGAGACGTGCGCCGACCGGCCCACCGAGGTCAGCGTCATCAGATTCGTCACGCGAAATCGCACCATCGAGGAGATCGCGCCCAAAAAGGTGAAGTTCACGGGAGCCATTGGCCGTGGGGTCGATGACCCCTAAGCCAAAACAAATAGCAAAGTAGACGAGAGAGAGAGAGAGCAAAAAGCGAGAGCATCCTGCGACGGATTCGCTTGTGAATTTAGCGTCGTTGTCCCGCGAACGTCTCTAAATCTCGATATTTTGAATGTACCGAGTCATTAGTGTGATCCATCTTTAATGTGACTCACAGAAACAAATCTGTTTTCTATTGCTGCACTGACTGTCTTAGTTTGCTCTCTTTTCCTTGACGAGAAAGAGAACAAAAGAGAACTGGTACAGCTATAGAAAACAGACCTATGATTCCCAGTAAGAAATGTTAAATCGATCCTTTGGAAATATTGATTTTACGTAGATTTTGGAAATATTTTGACACAATACTTTATAAATGTTTTTACACTATTACTTGATAATATTATGTTCTTAAATATTCAAGTCATAATGTAGAAACATAATTTTTAATGTTCCGATCAAATATTATTAACAATGATGTATGCAGCATTAAGAACTACATATTTGAAAACTGAACATTATAAAATATTATTGTAAATATCGTTGGGTAACAATGATTTCTTGCTTACTGAGTTGACTGTTTTTTCTACACTTATCGCTTTGTTTAGTTATATTTGAATCAATAGTATGTTTTATATCTGTATTATTCGAAATTATCTTGCCATTAGCGGTCCGTTTTTTAGCTGCACTAGTTTAAGAAATTTACATACATATTTAAAGAATATGTATGAGATTCTCACACTTTAGTGTGTAAATTTCTTGAACTAGCTAATTCAGCTAAAAAAATAGATCAAAGGTTTGTTTTATGTTTCTCTATCAGGATGTTCTTTTTATTATTAGAATGAGACAAATATACAACTTAGCACTGAAAGGAACAAAGTTTCAGTATAGCCCTACTGTTCAGAAACAGAAAACAGACCTCATATATCTGACCTATTCTGTTTATCATATATTGAGTAAAACTTGATTAAAGAGACGCACTAAGATAATTCCTGCATTGCGGTAGTGTTAATGGAGATGTTATACTAATATTTGTATTGGTTTAGAACACACAGGAGGTGTATACTTGTAAACAACGAGGTTGCGGCAAGGTGTTCACCAATCAGGATGAATACAAGACGCACGAAGCGTTGGAGGCTTTGAAGATTCGATTCATGTAAGCATGAAATTAAATTTATCACGGAATCGCGTCAAGCAAAGTTTTAGGCCAGCAAACCTTTCTAGAAAGCTCTTTGGAAGATAGTATATTAATTTCTAAAATATTTCACAGTTGTCGCGAGCCTGGCTGCGGAGAGGAATTGTCAGATCCGGGTAGTATGTGGCGTCACTACCAGGAATGGCACAATAACGAAACGAGCGTGTACGCCTGTCCATACACCAATTGTTCGTCCGTGCACCCTACCAGTAGTAAGCTCGAAGAGCATATTGAGGGTTGTCACAGACAGCTGTCTACACTGCCAATGGAACCTGAGATCATTTGTTTCGAAGCCCCTGAGAATATAGTGGACGAGGAAGGGGCGCAAAAGACTGACGATGGATGCTACGATAAACTGCCGGGCGAAATTTTCATCGTGACGAAAGATTACGGGAATAACGAGGAGAGCTGCCACGTTAGAAACGACGGGAAACTCCCAACGAAGAGTGCCCCCGCCACCACCGAGTTCTGCCACGAGCAGAATCAAACCACGGCTGTTACGAACAGCGAGGAATACTCGAATAGCGAATCCTTAAATGGTATTAACAAGTTCTCGAAGAACGAGGATATACTTATTATTAAGGACAATTTCTTACGGAAGTACGAGGCCGGCGCGGCCAAGTGCGAGGATATTATCCAGGTGGAGTGTTCGCAAGACAAGAACGTGCTCTACATAAGCGGCGACTTGACCATCACGAAGAACACGAAGGCGGATATATGCAATTTGAATCTGCGAAAGCAGGAGCATAAAGTAGATTTAGGAAACTTCGAGCGGGTTTTCAGGAGCGCTCTCGAGCGCGAGACTTCCAAGATTGAAGAGGTCCCGCTGGAGATCAACAGTAATTGTTCCGATGACGAGGAATACACGCCGAAGAAACAACGCATGTCCAGGTACAAACAGGAAACATACAAATGCGACGTGAACGGTTGCGGAAAGAAGTACAAATACATATCGCATTATCGTCATCATCAAGACAGTCACAAATTAGTCACGAATACGATTAGTTCGAACACTGCGAAGCAAATGCCAAAGGTGAAGCAAATCAAGTCCTCCACCGTCAGTTTCTTCATGTAAGTATAGAACGGTCGTGCCACTAGAGATGTGCGAATCAAGAATCTTTGATATCGAATCAAATCTCATTTTTTTCTTTTCGTATCCTTGATGTTTTAAAGTAAAAAACGTATATTTAAAGTGAGAAACGAATATTTAAATATTTAGAACAAAATTAATACTGACAAAATATATTTTATTTAGGGTAGCGATAATTGAAACAGGTATGAAAGATCATAAACCAATTGGGACTGGTTGTTCTACTTTCGGATAAATTTATCTAAAAATATCTGAAGAGCGTTCCCATACGGAAATAAATTATAAGAATATTAACAAATTATTGGTATATTATTGCTTTTCAATAATGTTTTTCAATAGTATGCCAGTAATTTGTTCCTATTCTTGTAGTTTATTTCTGTAGTTTATTTATGAACATTACACGTGCACATATATATATACACACTTTGCGCGCAAAGTGTGTATATATATATGTGCACGTCCACGAGACTCACGTCAGAATAATTATAAATTGTAAAATTAATATTGCGATATATAAGCTAGATTTGATATTAATAGCAAATGATTAAAAATCATCACCAATTTCAGCGCTTCTCAATTATCCACAGACTCATTTGATATCATGAAAATTTATTTAAACACACAAATTTTAATAATATCTCTCCGATGTCTTGAGTTATTGCTTTTAGTAATTTCGAAGAGGATCTTAATGTGCAGCTCCATTAAGTACATTTTTCATCATTCATTTTTCAAGTCATGCCAATTCCCACAAGACTGAGCATCTTTAATAGTGCCCCATCAATGCTAATGATTCGTATACGAATCGTCTTGACTCGAAGTTTTCGAATTATTTGGATTCGAGTCAAATCAGATAAGATTCGAATAGTTTGCACATTTCTACGCACGTGCCACGTAGATGATCAACTGAAAAATATTATGAAACACCTGACGCTTCTAGATGCAAGATGCCTGGATGTGGTGCGCAAGTGAATAACGTAAATGGCCTATGGAAGCACTATCAGGACACTCACGCCAATTCCAAGCCGTCAACTGTGCAAACTCCCAAGAACAATGAAGTGTTTCGGTAAAGCGTCTCAGTAAGCTAATAAATACGTGTAGAATTATATCGCCCATCGCGAGAGACAGCCGTTTCGTTGCGACGCGACCGGCAAAATTAAAATTGTGCTTGTCCGAATATTCCGTAGCGTAATTAATCGTAATCAGCCGATATTTCAGATGCAAGGTGGCGGGATGCGAGGTAGAGTTCAGTACGATGTTAATGTTGTACAAACATTTCAACGAGGTTCACTTCAATAACATCGGCAACACAAACGGGAAGGCTAGTAACGATGGTGGTGGTAACTTTCACTTGACCGACGTGTTCCAGGAAGACGCTACTGCCCAGCGAGCGAATTTTAAGACTGACTTCAAAGCCAAGCATAACGTTAACTTGAACGCCGGGAGCGGCGACGAGCCGGCCGCTCGTATCGCCAATAGCTAAAAGACGAAATTCTCATCGGAATTGAATCGAAATCAAGGGGGGGGGGGGGATCTTCTCCACCACGACGCTAATTAGACTAAAGAGGCACAATAATTCAGAGTATTTTACAGAGAACATTATCTTAGCTCCAGAATTTAATCGAGAATAAATCGCTTTAAGCTTATGTGTAATGAACAATTCGGTTCGTAATCTCAAACGCTGTTTAACTACGACAACGTGTAGATTCCTCCTAGTAGCCGTAAGCGACGTGGACTGTGTAGGATACTCTGATGTCGATTAACGTGAACGTGATCGTGAATGTATATCTGAGAAGATTCACTGGGCCGCTCGGTGTGTGCTGCGGTGGGGGACGAGACTAACGAGTTCGGATATGAATCGGCCCAGGGCTCAGTCTAAAAGTATATATCGTTCTACACGAATAGGTTTCTCGCACGGACTCTTGAATATTATATCAGACCGCTAACGCGCGCGCCCCTGCGGAACGCTTGCGGACACGAGAAACGAATAATTGGTCGAGATAATAATAATAATAAAATAATACGAAATAATGACGAATAATAGATCGAGGAACAATTGGTCGGCGGCCTGGTCACAAGTTTAGATTCCGATTCTCCTCGTCGACGACGTCGATAGATCGAGACTCGTGAAACCTTACTCGCGAGTAATTTCTCCGCGTCTTGTCGAGACACGTCGAAATACGCACGATATCTCGCGATCGCTTCCTACATTTCGCCGACTCGCGTCAGCGGTCTGTTACAGTACGCGTACGGAGTTCTGTGATTTTTGTCGTCACCGTAAAAGCGAGGCTAACCCGCTGCAGCGATTCGCACCTGTAATACAAGACTTTTCCTGACTTTCTGTACTGATTTTTACTGTTTTATATTGTGTCGGATTTTTATGTAACTTATATTCCATACCTATACCGATGTCGTTGTTACGATAGATATCCTAGCGACGTAAGTATTGTATAGCATTTTTATTTGTATGTCTGTACGTATGAAAAAAAAAAAAGAAAATAAAGTGCAATATTAGACGAATAAGCGTGAATCGCTATGAAACGAGACACAGGCTGATATTCGTAATCAGATATATATATATATAAGGCCGTCTTGAGTTAATCTTTAAATGCTGTACGGTTCATTTCATTGGTTATGAAGAATCTGTAGATAAAGACTTTAAGATGGTCTATAATATAATAATATAAGATCTGACTATGAATACCGGCTGTAATAATCTTTTTGTCGTAGAAAAATGAGCATTGCGTTGGAAAGAAGGCGAAAGAACGTTTGTGCTCTTCATTTCGAGTGCAGAAGGTGTAATATGGTGTAACTACATATGAATAATCAAATAACGGTTCAAAGACAATATATCAATCAGAGGTGATGATTATTGTGTACTGACTTCAGTTAAATAATACTTGATGATTATTAGAAATTACTGCAAAATTACTAACATTTGCAATATCTTCTAGGACTTCTTCTATATTCTGCCAACAAACTCGGACTGAGGAAACTGGTCTCGTCAACTTCAACTAATTTATGCCTGTTTCTACCATCTTGATTTAAATCTAACCGACGATTAACTTAATTGAAATTGACCCAAACGCATTAATTGAACCGATCAATATGATTTGTCATGATTAGATTTAAGCTATAATGATAGAGACAGGCGTTAATCGACCGATTAATGTTCGGTTGCAACATCATGGTTTAAATCTGATCTACGAATTAACAGATTTGACCAATCACACTGGTGAATTAGTTAAATCGATCAATGTGATTGGTCAATACCGTTGAATTAATCGTCGGTTAGATTTAAACCATGACGGTGGAACTGACCATAAGACGTAAAGAATTGAATCAATCGTTAAGAATAACCGATCAGAAATAACCATCAACCATGATTGGTTATTTCTGATCGGTTATTCTTAACGACAAGTGCGATCAGTCAATTCCAATGGAATAATTAGCGGGTTAAGTTAACCGGAGAATTGTAAACTGGCCTTAAAAGGCATTTTTTAAAATGCACCAATCAGAACGAGGTATTCCCAGTGCGCAGCAATCCCAATACGAAATAAGTGTTATGGGCCACCAGCTTTGTGGACACATGATTGGTCAGTTTTCTTCCGCATGTACATCAGACGCTACGCGAGTTTGTCCAGATAGGCCTTACGACTGAGGTTGCGGATAAGCGATTCCACGAATCAACCAATTTCGACACTGGCTCGTCCCGTTCCGATTGATCGAGTTTTTCATCTTCAATCCGTCATTCTCAATCTGTAATATTTAGCTTGATACCTCCTTTGTCGACATCTCTGGTACATGTCTTACATGTTCCAACGCGTTGTTCAGACGAAGAGGCGACCATCTTCGAGTCAAGTGTATCGCGCGTTATTCGAGTAGACGAGTAGTTGGTACGCGGCAAATCACGGCATCCTTCCCGCCATTGAAAAAAACAATTGATCGATCAGGCAGGTTAAATTCACGCTGAGGCTGAGTGAGAAGCCTGATATAACGTGTGTCTTCGTCGGCGTTGTATTTACGACGCGAGAGAATAACGGAATAATTTAACGGTGCGTTCGAACGGACGGAGTTATCGGTCGTACTCGACTCGTTCCGAGGTTGAACGAACGTTGGTACATGTGAGTGACGAGGAATGAAACGATGTATGTTAATGTTGCTAAACGTTTCACCGCAGTAACGAAGAGCAGTGTTGATACGTACGACGACGATATTTAATACGAATACGTTTAACAGATCCCATGTGTGTGTATGTGTGCGTTAATGACACAGATGCACTCTCTAGAGAACGAGCGACAACGTAACCTTAACGAAGTTGCACGATTGCCCGGGATACACACGGATTCGTGAACGCTTGCACGCGTAAAATAGCATTAAAATGGCCATCGCACGCCGTTGCAGCACAGCCGATTAAGAGTTCTCACATTTCATTTGTTAGTTTATTATTTTATACGTACACACATATATACGCACATATATATATATATATATATATATTCATACACATATATGTATTTTAACAATAATAATCGGCTCATCAACAATAGGTTGCAATGATGTCATTTATGGTAAGATATATTATATTACTGTATATGATATCTCAATCTAATATGTTTACTTTTTGTTTATACAGAAAGGTATTGATACGACTAAACAAGAGCTTGCCTATCGGGATAAACATTTTCATGGTAAGTTAATTCTGCAATATCACAGTAAATTTTCATGGTAAGTTATCGAGTTATTTTCATAGTGAGTAATTCTGTAATATGAAGATATTTATTAATATAAGCTTAGAATATAGTTTTATATATATGTTTATATGCTGTTATGTATTATGTGCTATGAGTGTAGTTTTATGTTTATGTATTATATAGGTATTATCATTTTTTATTTCTCTCTGAGATTATAGTTGTGTATTTGGATATTCATTTTAATATTAACTTTTTACGACAATAAAGAAGATAATAAAGTTTTGATATTACTTGTGTTATTGTACTTCAAACTCTCATTTTGCGTCTTGTTGATTTTATATTATGGAGCTTCTATCATTATCATTATTTATATTGAGTAGGGTTATAATTAAAGGAAATTTAACCATACATATTAATATTTCATGTTGAATTTGTGCGAATAATTCATCAAAGATTTATGCATAAATACTTTATGTTTAGATATCCGAATCATTAAAGACAGGCAGGTAGCATGCACTTCTTGTGGCAATAGATTGAAAATTGAGTTAGGACATATTTTTTCTCATCCATTATTGGGAATTTTGCAATGTGAGGTAAAGCTGATACGTTACATTTTGCATTTGAAATAATATATATTACAAAGCTTTTGATCTTTTATAAACATATATATGTACATGTATATATGTATATGTATGCATTTATTATATAATATTACCTTTTTATTTTGTCAGACATGCCAAAAAAATTTTCGAGCTCTAGGTGAACCATCTAATAAAAAGAGATATTGTTACATATGTGGTCAGGAAAAAAAGTTATATATATGTAGTGATAAGAAGTGTTTCTCTGCATTTTGTAAGGTAATAATTGCTTTGTTCAAATTAAAAAAAATGTTGCTAATATTGTTTATTAACATTATAACTTTTGTTATAATTGACGTTACATTTATAAGATATGATTTTATACTTTCAGAATTGTATAAAAAGAAATACAACTTTGTCATTACTGGATGCAGAACATGAAGACTGGAGATGTTTTGTATGTAAATCCAAGCCACTCTGGGAGTTAAGAGCTGTGTGTGCTGCTGTATTGAACGCACTTCCTAAGTAAGTATAGCCAAATATATATATTTTAATTGCAATATTTATTTTGACTAAGAATATACAGTTTTATTTGACACATCTGTGTGTTTTTTAAATTCTGTTTCAATGTATACAATACAGATACATTCTTGTGTAGGCGATTGTGCTAATTACAATTGATATTATGATTTACGTAATAATTAATGATTAATTAACGATTTCATGTGCTTTCATAAAGTTCTTTGTTCCTTTTTGTAGAAATCATAGGAACATTTGTCAAAGCTATGCGAATTATTTTTGTTTTAACACTTGATGTATTTGAAACATTTAAATGCTTATAATATAGATGTATTATTATACAAGTGATTATGTTAATTACTATCGATATTATGATTTACGCATTAATTAGTGATTAATTAACGATTTCATGTGCTTTCCTAAAGTTCTTTGTTCCTTACTGTAGAAATCATCGGAATATTTGTCAAAGCTATGCGAACTGTTCTTGTTTTTACACTTGATGTATATTTGAAACATTTAAATGTATCTTGATACATCTGGTTTCGTGAAAGATATTACAATTTAATGTAAAATATGAATATCGCGTGAATGCATGAAATCTCATTAAATATTAGAAAGTTATAAAATGATTTATTTAAAGCTTTGTGCAACTATTATATAACAACTTTTAGTAGTTATATATATATCTTAGAGATTAAATTGCATGTTTTGACGATGTTAAATGTATCATGTAGCATGTGCACTTTTAACGTTTCTCATCGATACTGTTGGTCCGTTTTGTTATAACATAATCTACTATAGGAGAAGATTGTTTTTTCCATTATTGAGAAAACTTTGTAGAAGCAAGACGAACGCACAAGAGAAAGAAGAAAGTGAAGTAATATATATCGCGTTTCTAGAGCCACAGAAACGGCTGTGACAGATTAAAATCTATCGAGAATATAAAGAAATTATAAAGAAGGATGAAGGATGTGCATGTATACATGATACTACACCAGACCCAAGAGAGAAGATATATGTACATATATGGAATGGATCTTCTGTTTCAGAAGGTGTAACAGGAGTAACATCTTCAAGACTCAAATACATACCTTACCGTCGCAAAAAGAAACAATAGCAAAAACCAAAAGGGTACAGCGAAGCTTGCACGCATTATGCGATGATGAAGATAGTATTTCTGAACCGAAACTACCGTATTTCTATTCGAAATTCATGAAGTTTACGAAAGAAACACACAATCAAGATTCTCACCGATTGAAACCGTTAGAAGTGACTTTAGTAGATTCGTCCGATATGACGAGCGACAATGAGGAAAAGATAATAAAGACCAAGAAGAATAAAAAAGTCAAGCCGATTCCGAGCAGTCAGGACTCGAGTAGTTCATCGTCGGCTTCGAAGCCGGTTGTAAATAAGAGAGATGCCCCGAAGAAAAGCAAGAATCCTAGTGATGATTCGGATGACAGTTCTGTCGTGTTGTCAGAGGAGGTAATTAAACCCCAACATGCAAGAAGGTCCCACGATAGATTTACGGAGAAACGGAAAAGCAGAGGGAATAACGTGACCGATGCTTCTAATAGTGAAAGTGATAAGGACGGTTCCACGAGCAAAGTGCCGAAAACATTCAACAGTTCCTCGGGACATGCTGCGGAAAAGGATGGCAAGAAGGATGTTAGATCTCATAATGTAAGAACCGCTAAGAGCAAGGTAAACAAGTATCGCTACTCAACTAGCGAGTCGGAGGATGAAGATGCCAAGAATACGAAGCAAAGCGGGGAGAAGCGTCCTGCGAGTCGCGCTGCGTCGCACAACGAGGAGCGGAAACGTAACAATTTGAAGGGGAAGACTCGGGAGGACGACTCGGACTCGAGTGGCAAGGAGTTCCAAAGGGAAAAACTCCTTCACGAGAAACACAGCGTTGTGATGAGACGGTTGAAAGATTTGGATGTGGATTACACCAAGTCGCCCGCCGCACGGAATTCCTCGGGTAACCGAATGAAGAAGGACAGCGATGACGAGGAGCAGATGAATGTAACTTTTGGGGATGTGAAGGAGGTTCTGGAAGAATGCAAAAGCATATGTTCGACGTTCCAAAAGTATATGGAAGTTATAGTAGGGCTGTACGAGAAGAAAGATGAGGAGAAGCTTCTACTGATATCGGCGCGAAAGGTGAACGAAGTAATGACGAAGTTGAGTAAGAAGCACAAGGAGCTGACGGCCTTCTACGAGCTTTGGTCCAAGAAATCCAGACGTTCGATGGGCGAGCCGAAGAAGACGGAAGCGCAGAGAGAAGTCGGTCGCGACGGAGAACGATCGCCTTCCGAGGAGACCACTAACGCGTGCGTAAAGCGTAAAACGCAAAGCGAGAAGACTGACGTGAAACGTAAGACACACGAGGAGGAGGAGGAGGAGGAGAAGCTTCGCGAACAGGACAGCAAGGAAGTGTCTGAATGCGACAGCGAAGAGATCTTTTCGGCGGACGAGAGCAGGTCGTCTCGGAAAGTTCAGGAAATTGCTCGCGTCGACGTGTCGGCGATGGACAACAGCGACGTTGATACGGTCGTCAACGAAGACAACGAGCAACCGATAATAGACAGGTTGTTGGAGGAGTGCGAGAAGAGTGACGAGAATTCGCGAGACGACCTGATCGTTTCGCCGGTGTTAGGCGCGTCGGAACAGAAGAGGGCCAACGCGGAAGGGCCGAGCAAACAATCGGCTCCGGAATGCGCGAGCGACACTGATAACAACAAGGCGTCATCGAAGAACAAAGATACCGAGATCGAACAGTCGGAACCGGTCGAACCTGAGAACAAAGACAATACTTGTAATTATTCTCCGGAGAAGACGACTAACTGCGAGACGACGACGTTGCGGAATAACAACGTGCGAGCCGGCAAATGCTTGATCGATGAATCGATGGACGACATGTTCGAGGATTCCTTCGGTGAATTCGAGAGCGCGGAGGACACGATGGAGCCGCGAAAATCAGACGGAAGCGAAGTGAAACGAGCTGCGCATCGAACTGAGTCGACGTCTGATCACGATACCGGCGAAATCGCGTCCCCGAACGACGAAGCGAATCGTGTCGCGACGGCCGATGGCGATCAGATCCCAAACGCAGAAGGACGCGAAGTATCCCGGCCTGAAGGTAACGAAAACGCGGGTTCGGAGGGTCGCAATGAACTCGAGAAAGTGGCCGCCACGACGAGCAACGGGAATAGTCGCGATGTTGACAACTTGAACTCGCGCGAAAAAGCGGATCTCGATGACGCCGAGACGAAGCTTGCAGAAATACTGGCGAAGAAGACTCTGCTGGCAGAGTCGGATTCCGATGATGTCTTGTTGAACTGCTCAACGTCAAGCCTGGTGAACGAGAATTCGGTGATAGACGACTCGAAGAAAAGCGAAACGGCGGACGATGCAAACGACACCGGCGTCAAAGCTGAGGCTAACGCCGAGAAGAAGAAGAAGAAGAGCAGGAAAGATAAATCGAGCGAGGGAACTCGCGACAAGACGAAGAGATACAAGGACGGGAGTGTCGAGGCCGAGAAGGCCGCCAAGAAAGCTCTGTTGGCGAGCAGCACCTCGGAGGATTCCGAGTCACAGGAATCGGAGGAGATCGCCGATAAGATCGACGATAAGAAGTTGAACGCTAAGGATGCCGCCGATATCAAAGCGAAGGAGGCGCTCTTGGCGTCTTCTAATAGCGACGACGATTCCTCCTCCGACATCCAAGTGTCCGAGACGGAGACGAGCGTCTTGGGCTGCAATAGAAGGAACAGAAAGCGTAATCACGACTCCGACGCGATCCTCTCCCCCTCCGTGAAGATAAGGAAGCTGAATCTCCGCAGGAATCACCACTATCTGAATGACGAAAAGTTGAGAGCGACTTGCGAGGTCCGCGTAACGCGATTATCGAAGAAGATCCTCGAACGCTATCCGCACGCGTTACAAAAGTCCAAGCAATATCTGGAACATAAGGCGCTGAAAAGGTACTCAGAATACACACTACAACCTTTGTATGTTGCTTTACACCGTATGAAGTAATCTATACATATATTAACTATATTATCTCGTCGTGTTTTTCTTTTCGTTTTTTTTTTTTTTTCCTCCGAGTATGAAGCGATTATTTCATTTTCTTTCTTCTTTCCCTCCGTACTCGGACGTCTGTGAGATAGTTCGCATCGAAGTAGAAACGGCAGGCAATCGGCATGAAGAATCGTAGAATTATGTTTCTCTCTCACGATTTTTTTTTTTCCGCAAATACTTGTGCATCGTGTCCACACGTTCGAACCTTTGTAATTTTGATGATTGCAAATGTTTGAAGACAATGAATTGCATCGATCACGATGACCTTTCTGTGAGACATCCCGAAACACTCCAAACGAGGAGTTGTTGTTTGTTCATGGCGTTGATCTGATCATTGCAATCAGTGAACTTGATAACATACCGGAAAGAAAACAATTTGAGCAGGAAGAGAGAGAGAGAGAGAGAGAGAGTGTGTGTATCTGAATGATCGGCTTATTTTACCTGAAATTTTCCGAAATAAAAAATCGGCTTGTGCATTTTGTAAATTTATATATACGTGTTGTGTGTCGCATGAAAACTTCATTGCTCGGTATATTTTGTCGATATATTTAATCGATTTAATTCATAAATGGAGCAACTGACTGTAATTGTAGAGAGAGAGAGACAGAGAGCGCATCATTTCTCTACACTCTTGGTTCGATAACTCACGTCGCTTGCTTTGACGTTGCTTCTCTTTCCAGTATATTATACAGTTCAGTGATCAGATTATTATATACAGTAATTAACATAGCAGTGATATGTATCTATATAATTACAATTAGCACCATCTTACAATGATACAGTGGAAGCAATACTCTTGTAACTTCTACGACAGAAGAGATCTTTGCGTACAAAAAAAGGATTGTTCTTATTGTAATCTCGTGTCTCTTATTTCTAAAAACTTTGCCGAATTGGTATATAAGAGAGGGAAGAGAGAAGTTTTCTTTTTTACACAATAAATTTTTCGTACAATACTTATGCCGTATTAATCATTATCCAAGGAAACCTTATTTCCATTGTCCTTTGCAGTCTTGTTAATCTGGATAAGCTCGAAAAGAGACACAAAAGCGCAAGAAAAGACTCCGACGACGACGCGTCGACGGACGATGACGACGCATTATCGAAGATCTCGAGGAGATCGAATAAGGGAAGAGGGAAGCAGGCGACCAAAGAGGCAGCTGAAGAGGAGTCTTTGATGGATCATTTAAAGAGGATAGAGAACAACTGTCCTTGGACCATAGAAGCGATTTATACATCCGATGAGTCCGTTGATCGTGTAGCAAAAGTAGACGATGCGCCTGTGTCTAACGAGGCTTTACTGTTAGAGGCGAATAGAGTCGCGAAACAGAATCTGTTAAAGTCTTCTGATTCAGATGCCGGTAAGCGATTTACTGCTGGACGTGTAATAATTCCTACAACGGTGCATCATTCTATGCATGAGACCTAGGCACATCTCGACTGTAGATTCTTCGACGAGTACAATCGGGAATTTTTCTTAGAAGAGAAAGAAATACTTAATTTCTTGTCTCTCCTCTTGTAATTCTTCCAACTATTGAGATAATGCTCTCTGTGTCTCTCGGATAAGACTTTCGTTATTATTTCTGTAGAATGTACAATATATATATATATGAGATTTTATTAAGCGGTTCGTGCAATTATAGCTACTTAAGTGCGAATATATATATATATTTAGATATAGAAAAGCCAATGGCATCGGACAGCAGTAAAAGCAGCGACGATAAAAGTGCGGAGACGGAAGATAAAAAAAAGAAATCTGAGAAAAAGCCCGAAGACAAGACTTCGAAGCAAGACGAGGTACAATGCGATTTCCTGCGATTTGAGACAATTTGTTGAGTTGCAAATTTGTTACGCAGAATAAAATAAGTTATTAAAATATGGCATGGATACGAATACGCATACGTAGAGATTTTTAATCGTTACTCCTTTAAAATGTTTCAGAATAAGAAAGATAAAAGTGGGAAAAGTAATTGGAGGCGAAATAAAATTTTAACGATGAAACTGTCGGACACTGATTCCGAGACTGAGAAGAAGAAATGGAACAAGAAGCAAGAAAAATTGATAAAGAAAGAGGAGAGGAAGTGAGTCTTCCCGTTTCACGAAGCACGGGACGAATTTCCCTTTTCAATTTCTTTTTTTACAGCAGCGAGTCCGACGAAGGGGAGGAGGCCAAGGTAAAGAAGAAGAAGAAGAAGAAGGGCGCACGGAGAATCATAGATTCCGATTCGGATATCAAATTGACGGATTGCGATTCTGACACCGATAATTCCTCCAAAGCGTCAGACGGCAAGAGAAATTCCGGCGACTCTGTCATCTCGTTAGGATCAGTCGACGCGAAGAAGGAGAAGCTGAAACGGAAAGGGCGCAAGCGTCGTGATAGCAAATCGTCAGCTACGGATTCATCGATCGAAGAGAAGAGGCAAATCAATATAGATTATATTTATTTGGCTCGCCTCTTTATTTTTTGCTTTACTTTCCGCACCTTCGGCACCGCCAAAACGCTTTTAAGCTGACGATACATACTTGTAGGCCGAAACCGAAGCGAAAGCGGATTAAGAAAATGGCGTCTGACAGTGACAGTAGCGACGCGATGCAAACCTCCCAGGGGACGCCTGGTAAGAGCGGCCGAAAGAACATTCGGAAGGTCTTGAAGGACAAGCAAGTGGCGGATGACACGAAGCAGGCCGCCAAGGAGGAGGAGGAGAGGCTGAAGCGTATTGCTGAACGCCAAGCTCTGGTATGCGATTCGGCTGGCTGTCGTTATCATCGCGTATATCGCTGCATGCTTTGATTGCAGTACAACGAGATGTACGAGATGAGGCTGGCAGGGGAGGAGAAATTGGAAAAGCTCGTTCTGGACTTCGATACGGGAACGAAGGAGGAGCTTGTGAGCGTACACGAGGACTTGGTGAAGCGTCTGAAGCCGCATCAGGCGCAGGGTATCAAGTTCATGTGGGACGCCTGCTATGAGTCTCTCGAGAGGATAAAATCCACGTCCGGGTCCGGATGCATCATCGCCCACTGCATGGGTCTGGGCAAGACGTTGCAGGTGATCGCTCTGACGCACACGCTTCTTACGCACGAGACGACGGGCGTGAAGACGGTCCTGGTGGTCTGTCCCCTGAGCACGGTGCTCAATTGGGTGCACGAGTACAAAACGTGGCTGACGGATCTGGACGACGACGTCAACGTGTACGAGCTGACCAAGTAAGTTTATTATCAGACGCAAGACGACGGCGGTTTGTTGCAACGGCGATTTCAGGTTCAAGAAGAACTTCGAGAGGAAGTACCAGCTACAGAGGTGGCAGCAAACAGGCGGTGTGTTGATCATCGGCTACGAGATGTTCCGCAATCTCACCGGGGCGAATAGGAATATTCGTAAGGGCATGAAGGAGGCGATACTCGAGTGCCTGGTCGATCCCGGCCCGGATCTCATCATTTGCGACGAGGGCCACTTGTTGAAGAACGAGGACACCGCGTTGAGCAAGTGCATAAGAATGGTGAAGACGATGCGACGCATAGTACTCACCGGGACACCGTTGCAGAACAATCTGACAGAGTGTGAGTGTGTTACCTTGAGGCGCGTTCCATTTCCTTCGACTGTCTCGTCCGTTTTGTCCCCGCAGATCACTGTATGGTGCAGTTCGTAAAGCCGAATTTGCTGGGCACGAAGAGGGAATTCTTAAACCGATTCGTTAACCCGATCACGAACGGTCAGTTTGACGATTCCACCGCGTACGACGTCAAGCTGATGAAGAAACGCGCCCATGTGCTGCACAAGATGTTGGAGGGCAGCGTGCAGAGGTTCGATTACTCCGTACTCACGCCGTTCCTACCGCCCAAGCAAGAATACGTTATCTTCGTGAGACTAACAGAGACGCAAATTCAAATGTATCAGTATTACTTGGCTAATCTCGCAAGGTATGTCGAACGAAGATGTGTATACAAGATGTTCTGAAGTTATAACGATACTTTAACACCGCATTTTGAAGCTTAAGGGGATGCCAAAGTCGATGACGAACTTCCTAAGCGTCGATACGTACAGATGATTCTCAAAATGTTATGTTGCATAAAAACTGACATGATTACTTTTCTCGCGTTTTCTTGTACACGTATATCGCACGTAAATGTAAATGCGATGAATGCGCGCTGCTGTGTTTTATCATATCTAACGGGAAATCTAATCGAAATGTTTCCGCAAACTTTTCGTATTGCTTAAGCCTTTAAATTGAATTGAAATGTATCAAAACGTTTTTTTTTTTCTTTTTAATTTTCTCGATTGGAGCATTGACACATATGTATAAGCTGCAGGATTTCAGGTATGATGTAAATATTTACGCTAATTGATAGTTGGAGATCACACACACATTTTTTGTCAATTTTGTCATTTTGAGCAATATTCCAATTTATTTTCACGCGTAGTTTCATTGTTTAAAAGCACACACACACACACACACACATGTGTGTATATATATATATATATATATATATATATATAAATGTTATATTCTATACAATCAGTACGACATAAACTTTGTAAGATAAAGTCAATATTTTGCCTGTAAAGTTTTCAGGTACGGCAAACCCTTAATATTGGAGCCGAAAACCCTGATACAAATTTCCAGGAAGTTATCGTCACGTTTATTCTTTTACAGACGTCATCATGGCCCGGGAGGATCTCTCTTTGCAGATTTTCAAGCGTTACAAAGGATCTGGACGCATCCTGTCGTTTTGCGCTTGAACGCGGAGAAAATAGAGAAGGCAAACGAGAAGAAACTTACGAGCGATTCGGAGGGTTCATTGAAGGATTTCATCAACGATGATACTACCGAGTCGGACAGTTCTCCCAGCAGTTCGAACAGCGACAGTGACGTTCAAGCTATCGACGATATAAAAAACAACGTGCCGAGACGCAAAACGAGGAATAATCCTGGCGTTGGTGAGTTTTCGATATTGTTGCACCTGAGTATAGTTTGTATCCTTATGTTTCTCCTTTTTCTTTTTTTTTTCTCCTTGCATCTGTACGTCTTCTTTTTCACGTTTGGACGTTGGCTTTTAATTATTTCATGTTTACAAGCTACTGAAGTTGGTCATCTAGTGGTCGAAACAGTGGTCGAAAGTCGTTTCGTGTTATTGTTTACACAATATATGAAATTGCGCACTATAACTACGGCAAGGTTATCATACGCCTTGTAATACTTTTTCGTGACTGAAATAAAAAAATCGATAATATACGAACTAATAATGACGCAAGGTTAAGAAGGAAAGAAGTAATGGCCAATAAGAGCTTAATTAATCCCGACTGTTGCAGCGATGTACAGTCTGTCTAATAAGTGCGTGACCGACATAATTTTCAAACTATTATAAAAATATTTAAAAAATGACACATGTACTACACAATCAGTACTGTAACGTTTTTGTATTAGTAAGTCCTCCAATCACCACCGTTGTCACTTATTGCCTGACACCTTCCAGACATATTTTCATCAATTTTACAGCACTCTCCCGCTATATATTATCCTTTTCTTTCTAAGTTAGCCACTAACACAACAACCATTTATTAATTGTATTTAAAGGAGAAGGTTTGTTAAATTACAAAGATGCGTTGATTTCCAGAAGAGGAGCCAGAACCGTCGCCTAAGGAGGCCGCTCCTGCGGAAGTGGAATGGTGGTTGCAGTTCGTACAGCCCGAGCACTTCGAAGACCTGAAAGTGTCGGCCAAATTGTTACTTCTCTTCAGCATCTTGAAAGAATGCGAACAAATTGGCGACAAAGTGTACGTATCCCTTACGTAACACACACATACACACAAAATTAGATAAACAACGATCGTGCCGCTACATCATTGTTTACTACCCGACAGGCTTGTGTTCTCGCAATCCCTGTATTCGCTGACTCTGATCGAGGAATTCCTCCGGAAGATAGACGACGAGACGCAAAAGAACGTGCAGCTGGAGTCCCTGGACAATCACACGGGAAGCTGGGCCTTAGGTCTCGATTATTTCCGCTTGGATGGTCAAACGTCAGCCGACAATAGAAGCGCATGGTGCAGGATATTCAACAGGCCCACCAACACGAGAGCGAGACTGTTCCTCATATCAACGCGCGCCGGTGGATTGGGAATAAATCTGACTGCAGCGAATCGTGTGATCATCTTCGACGCCAGTTGGAACCCCTCTCACGATGTGCAAAGCATATTCCGAATATACAGGTATTTACAGGAATATACAAAAGATCGATCGATTCTCGACCACTTTTTAAGGAGAGATGGACCGAGATGAAAGAAGCGGAGAAATCCAGTAACTTGTAATCATTTCTAATTCTCAGGTATTATTTCTCTGCCAAATGTCGATTTTCCGTTGAAAAGTTCTCCTTTGTTTTCTTTATCCGTTCTAAATAACTTAATTTGAATCTTTAATCTCACATATGACATGAAGACGAATTACAACAAATTAATTATGTTGAAACCAGGGATCCGGACCGAATGAAAATATCTGTCCGGTTCCGCTTCCAGTATACTAAAATATTTAATAAAAGTTCGAGTTTCGGTTCTTTAAACTTGTTTCCTTGCTGAGATTATATATGTATAACGTGTACAATAATATATTATAAAAAATAATATCTCTTTCTCGATATAGATAGCATTTCTTCACTATTTCCATCTTCTATTCTTAACTTTTTTGGATATATAATATCCTTGTTATTTACCTCTCCATAACGTAACATATAAATTATGTAGATTCTGGGAATATTCGGAGAATATCTTGATATTCTCCGAACATTCTCAGGATGTATATGTTCCGTCAGAATAATTCGTACAATTTCAATTTATTGAGGATAATTGTCTTTCTATTCATCCCAAAATTGTTATATATTATTTCTTCTATTAATCCTTTTCTGTTCAATATCGTTTGCTTGAAGTTTATTTTCTATTTATCGCGATAACTGATCAATGTGCTGTTTTTTTTCCGTGAGAACTGGAATTTTATTATGAAATGAAAAAAAAAATTATTTTAAGTCACAGAATAAGAACCGAAATAATGAACCGAAAAGAACCGTAAATCGAAAAAAATTTAACGGTTCCGATTTCGGCTCCGCTTCTATAGGCTTTATGAAATTTCGCTACAATTTATGGTTCCGGTTTTACAAAACTACCAGTTTCCATACGGTTTTCAGTTCCGGTCTGGTCTGAATCCCTGGTTGAAACTAAAAAATTGAACGTTTCAGACTCTATTTTACGTCATCATCGGCAATTAACAAATTTAACCCTTTGCACTCGAGGGCTCCGGAGCGGAGCCATTTAAAATTTGTCTTCAAACTCGAGGGCTCCGCTATGGAGACAATGCAAATAACTTTCAGTTCATAACATAAGGACAAAGACAAATCGTAAAAACTATTGTGTATAGGATATTCCGCTCTTGCTATTTGCATTTGAGTTTGAAGAGTTTGAAGACAAATTTTAAATGGCTCCGCTCCGGAGCCCTCGAGTGCAAGGGTTAAGGACTGTGTGTCGTTCCGTAATTCAGCGGAGTAGTTGAAAAGACGTGACAAACCGTCTATGCAGGTTTTTCGAACAAGAAGAAACTTTTTGAATCCAGCCACGCTAATTTCCAGAAGCGCAAAGTCGGGACTAATAACTAAGTAATTGCTGAAGACAGCCCAGAAATAGGGTCTGAAATGTTGAACTTTTTAAATTTTGATATAATTAATTCACTTCCTCAAGTTTTGATCGTCTCTAATTTTTACACACGATCAGATTCGGGCAGAAGAAGCCATGTTACGTGTACCGTTTCCTCGCGGCCGGAACAATGGAGGAGAAGATTTATAATCGTCAAGTCACGAAACTCTCGTTGTCGTGTCGAGTTGTGGACGAGCAGCAGATCGAACGGCATTACAGTAATCACGATCTGAATGAATTGTACATGTTTGAGCCGTACGATAAGGAGAAGCCGACGTTGAATTTACCTAAAGATCGACTGTTAGCGGAGATATTTCTCAAGTATAAGGATATCGTGGATAATTACCTTGAGCATGACTCTTTGTTGGAGAACAAGGTGAGAGATATCTTCTTTTGTTTCTCTCACGTTTCCTGCGTGTGTCTATACCTTATGTGATAAATTGATTATTACAGGCTGAAGAAGAATTGGACGAGGAGGAACGCAAGCAAGCCTGGATAGAATATGAAGAGGAAAAGAAAGGAAAGCCGCCAATGGTAATGTCTTATCAGAACAATATGCTTCCGCAGCAGTACAATCTGATGATGAATGCCGATCAAAGCGGCATGATGTCTCAGAATGCGGTATCTCTACAGATGCAGTATGAGAATCTCCAACAGCTTATCCGTAAAGATGTAAGCATTACCGTTAAATATGATAGTACTTCGCGTTCCACATATAAGATGCTGAATAACTGCCCCAAGTTCCTCTAGTGAAATGTTTCTTAGCGAGAATTCGGCTGCTCGTTTTATAGTCGCCGGAAGCCAAAAGGACAATTTTTCCTTCTTTTTCAATCATTGATATGCAGTCCTCGAATTTGTAAATAAATTTGTTTGTAAGTTTTCCTTTCTTTTTCTCGATTATTTCTGTCGTTGTTAGCATCTTGTAAATGGAATTATAGGTGTTTCCGGTAGAAAACCGTTAAGTAAGTTACTCATATTTCTGGAATTTTTGTAGTTTCCTAACGCTACGATGGAGCAACAGAGGCTTATGACAAATCGAGCCTTACTTGATATGTATAATTACTGGGAACGACAAGCGGTACTTCAACCTAATAGGGTACAACTACCGGTAATTAATTTATTTTGTCGATATTCTTATTTTTATATTTCTTATTATTGCATTGTTATGTCCAAGATTCAGTCAATCAGTGGGAATCAAGTCAGCGGGAACAAACGTTAGCTAAAAAGAATCATGTTTAACATAAATAATCGAGATAAAATTCAAAATTTACAATAATAATAATTTATTACATATTTAATAATATATAAATTTATAGACCTATCAACCAAGAATGCCGGTAGTACAACCAACGACCAGCAGCAACGTAAGTATAATTGTTCGCGCATCGAATATGTGAACTTTTTGAGACGCTCATTTGTCATTTATTGTTACAGCAATCAATATTGAACCAATTGGTTACGGGGCAAGCGACAAATTACATGAACATAAACCAGCCCGCACAAAGTGGAGTAAATCCATTAGCAAAGCAATTTACATATCGAAATGTTCCCACTAACAATACAGGCAACAAGGATAATGAGGTAATCGAAGTAGTAGTACACTCTATATCATTTGTACGTGGCTGTTATAACTGGAATTACTCATATAATTTCCAATTTTACATACACACACACGCACAAGATGAAAATTTGTATATGTGATTCTTGTTATAATGGGCCAGGCGTACATGATTCGTACAGAGTGCGAATAGTTGAATACAATTAATTTACTTTCAGGTGGCCCCTAGTACAAGTAATGTCGGTACGATAAACACACAAGCGGGGCAAGTGGTACAACCACAAGCTGCTACAAATAAAAATCAAGAGGAGTAAGAATATTGTATATTTATTTTAGTTTCTACAATATAATTATATTTTAGCATTGTTGATAAGCTATCTATGCGTACATCTATACAAATATAATACGATAAGAGCTTTACAACAGAAATTTGAACTGTATACGAACATGTATTATTTACGTTCGATGTTACTTTCTCATGTAATATAAAAGGATATTCGCAAATTATTACTTAGGTACTAATAGCAAAACTATATTATTGCAATTAACCGTAATGAGTTTTGTAACACGTGTAGACGAATTCCACGTTTTATACTTTCAAGAATTTTCTGTACAGGCTGTGCAATACAATAATATTAGACGCATGTTAAGTCTGGTATTGCAAATCCTTTACAGAAGCAAGAGCATTCGAAAGGAAAGTGTAAGGTATGCCTCGAAGAAGCTGGCTTTTTCTTATTTTGTAGTTCGTTAACTTAACGTTAAAGAATCATTTTCATCTTACGCTATTAAGCACATATATAATGTTTATTTTTCCCCTCATTTATGCGTTCTATTCGTCCTATAAATATTTTGTAAATTAATTTAGAGAAGTCTTTTACGATACGTAGGATATCACACTAGATATAGTAGGTTATGAATTATATCACGAAATATTATGATGAATTTGTTGTGCGATTTTAATTTTATAAATATAGCGATATCTAAATTATTCTCTTTTAATTCTCCGATTTACTAATTTAATTTGAGCTACGTATTACACATAACGAACGAGCAAGGAGTTTCGTTAAAACGGGGGATGTGTGTATATACTAAACATTGATTATGACTAATATTTACATGGCACTGAAGCGTTGAAATTCAGTACGTTGGAAGAGCACTTCTCCACCCATTTCTCAACAACGACCTTAGGTATTCCTTTGTACTTGACAGATCTGGCGTAGCGGCTATATTGAAATTTTCTGCCCTGTCCACCCTATGATCATACAATTCCTCCGCGATAAGAACATTCCAGTCTGGTTTACACGTTTCATGCGCGAACGGTATCCACGCGGTGTAACGATAGTCGTTGCTTTTCAGAGTGTAGCCCATTATAGTTATCTCTCTCAAGTGTGGTTTATCGCTGTTTGGGTGGAGCGTAGGTTGAATTCCCGGTCTTGGATATTGGCTGAACGCTGCCTTCTTCCAGGATATGTCCTAAAGTTTTGCAAATATTAAAGAGAATCATATATATCTCTTATTTTGTACGATATTTTTGTAGAATCTAGAAGATCAAACGGGATGTCGTCTCACCTGGCATCGTGAGATACTCCTTATGAGCGGTAGAAGTGTGATACCCTCGCTACAAGGATCGGATTCCTTCCGATAAGTAAGATTGCTTAAGCGTGACTCGTGCTCTCTATCAATGTGAATTTGACACATCGGTACAGGCGCGCCCGCCAAGTCCGCGATCGTCGGAAATATGTCGACGAGTTCCACGATCGCATTCGTGACTTTACGTTTCCTCTGCATTCCACGATATGACGCATCGCTCTTTATAAATTTATCATATCGTTGTCGATTATACACCTTTGAGACTTTCCTCTTGCGTTTGTCCATATAATATCCTGTATTTCCACGCGTTTTCGAGTCGCCGATTTTCGTAGTATTCAGTATCACGTACTTTAAATCATCAGTTTCACTGGCGATGTTTGCTACTTTTGCGGTACATTTTGTACGATCGACAGCTCCAACGTGGTAATTAACGGAATCAAATGTGAGCGTTGGGATCGATATTAATAAAGGTACATGTACAGAAACGTCAAAATTGCTGTACTTCGACCAAACAGCGTGTTCTCCAAGTGCCCAACCTATATATTTAATATTCTGTCACATAACACGAATGTATGTGTGTGTGTGTATGTGTGTGTATTATATATCTTTTAGTTTATTAATTAGACGCGTACCATGATCAGATGTTAATATTACGATAGTATTCTCTCGAACCATCGAGACGTGCAACTGATACATAAGTTTGCCAATCAGATTGTCAATGTAGGACACGGCTGCATAATACGATTGGATAATCAGCTTGCCGAACTTCTCTGAAAACACCGATTCAAAGAAAGAAAGAAAAAAAAAAAACAAAAAGAAAACGTAACAATGTAGATACACGTAAAATCAAGCGAAATAAACACATGTGTGTATAGGTAAATGTATACCTGGAATTTTTTCCCATGGAAACTTTAATTTCAACTCTGCCACGTCTTGTCTCCATCGAAGGTCGGTCCAGGGATTATAAGCGACGTTATCTACATCATTCGGCCACAGATATGGCTCAGGTATTTTAAATTTATGAATCGGATGATATTCTGCGACATATTTAGAAACGGAAAGATTACACTGCATACGATTATATGAATTAAGTAAATCATTATATCCAAGTGTAATGAAACTAATATATTCTTAACATTATTATCGGTAAAAGCTAGAGGATGTACTTAGGAAACGGTCAGGATACTTCAACGGTATATGAGGTTTCTGAAAGCCAACAGCGAGGAAGAAGGGTTTGGAGTCTCTTCTGTGCTTATGTATGAATCTTCTCGCTTCCTGTAACGTCTCAATATCGGGCAATGTTTTATTTGGCATAGTTGAAACGTGTGCCGGACATACCTGCAAACATAATATATAATATACACAAGCGTTATCCAAAAAGATATATTTTACATGAGTTGTGTGACATAGTTGACATTGTTTCATTGGACATTACGATATTTCGTGCCGCTTTTGATTGTGAGCTTGCTTTGCAAACGGGAGCGTTTTTATATCTATCTGTGTAAGGATGAAAAGGTTTCTCGGTCCACGAATAAGGACTATCGTCAGATTTATTGGAACTTATACCTGCAAGATGAAATGTTCACTTTCACGAGGAATGTGCGGGACGAACAAAATTCAAAATCAGATAAATATAATTAGTAGTAAATATAGAGTTAAAAATGTAAATTTATACAACATATCACTATCATTTATTTATACAAATATATATATAATCAATTTGATATTTGAAGCTTTCGCAGTATAAAATGTCTTCTAAAACGTCTCTTCGATCTGGCTTTCGGGTTGGAGCAACGTTTTTCATTGATTTATTTCCTACGAATTGTCTTGGAAACAAATTCACAAAGGACATGTCACCAAACTAGGAAGCCAGTTCGAGTGTAAGTGTTAATTATTAATTTATTTATACGAACTACTTTTATTATAATATAATTATAAAATGTACTATTTATTTATATAATCTAACACTTTACCTGGATGAAATACTTTTCCTATGGACATCGTGGTGTAACCATTGTTCTTTAAATGCTCCGGTAAACTGGTATAATTGCCAACTGTATCGCGCCAGTAACTGTAGAAATCATACAGCTGAAGAGTATCCGGTCTTCTGCTTGTCAAAAGTGAATTCCTGCTAGGCGCACACAAAGCCTGCTGCAAGTGTATAAGTTGTTTCTTTTTTTTTATACATCGAACGTGACAAGCAAAACGTACTTAGTTTTCTTCAAAGAAAATTGTACGCGCCCTCAATAGTTTTCCAGGAGAAGGATGAAACAATAAATATTGGTATCTGGAATATCTTCGAAACTATGAGAATAAGGGAAAAATTTATCTAACAAAAATTAAGAAGCGGTTTATAGTGGTAATGCTTTCTTCAAGGTGGAGTAACTTCAAAGACCTGAAGGTCAGGATTGAATCAATCGCTGTAAACAAAATAGAGAAACTTAAAAAAAACTCGTATTTTTGCAAATGCATCGATACACTAATGTGCGATGATTAATAATCGATTTTTCTAATATTATTTTTTACAGAAGTATTAAAATGATGTTATAGAAAAGTAAGGAGAAAAGGAGATATTTCATATCTTGTATTGAAAAGAATTAGAATAGAAATTGAAATAATTGAGAAAAAGTAAAATATTTCGAAAAGTATTCATTTTTCGATGATCTTACTTCGAGGGGAAAAATTTCTCATATATAATGACATATAGAATATGTCCATATATGTATAAATATAAATAAATAAATAAATAAATAAATAAATAAATATATATAGGCGTAATTCATTATATATATTTATTATATGTATATATTTATATATAATTTTATCTAATTATATATGACAAATTTTTTTCCGGGGCTCTAGTTTTATACGCAAAAATGATCATAGGAATCGATTTATATTAAAAAAAAACTATATGATTCCATTTAAAAAGACAAAAGTAACTTTCAGATCTTTGAAGTTACTCCACCCAGAAAAAGGCGTTGCTATAAAACGACCGCTTCTGCACCACGTAATTTCTGTTAGATAAATTTTTCCCTCACCCTCATAGTTTCGAGGATATTCAAAGTAGCAATCATATTATTGCCTCACTGTATATAACTCGAGTTAGAGAATGTAGACGAACGTTTTTTTTTTTTTCGAGGAGACACTGATCTTGTTTATAAGATGGTATTTTCATTCCATCCGAGGAGACGGATACCTGTGCGAACGCTTCGGCGAAAACAACGCTATCCTCTGCCAAAGCGTCGATGTTCGGTGTGTACGCGTTGTTATCGCCGTAACATCCCAGACTGGTCCTCAGATCATCGACGATGATCAGCAAGAAATTCGGACGAGCGGCGGCGGCATCGTGAGCTAGTGTAATTGCGATTAAACAGAAGCAGGTCACGGTAAACATCGTCATATTGACTTAACGTATGCGCTTTGAGAGGGGAGTGTGCCCGGTGATTACGTTAGAAAGGTGTTCCCGTTCCTCCCCATATTCATCATTCGAACTATTTGTTCCTACGAGTCCGCTTCTAAAAGAAATAAAAAAAACCAATGGCGAGAATTTGGCGCGAAACCACCCCCATATATAATACAAAAGCTTGCAGCAATATTGCTGTAACGTTGTCAACATTGCTGCAATGTTGCGGCAACATTACTGCAAGCTTCTGTACTGTACGGGGTGTTGCGGTTTCCACTGCGTCGTCGTACCTAAATCGAAGGCACGCGAGTTGTGGCAGTCGCCGTTGAATTCAGCGCGCCAGCCTGCGCGTCACCTGGGCGATCTCACGTGACCGTCGAAGTCAGCTGGCGATGTCGCGACAGCTGGTTAGCCCCGCGAGGCACTGCTGTTCATTGTCGGTCGGTCGGTCCGCTGTACGCTTGCCGCAGTAGTTCAATATCACAATTTACAGATTTACGTCACCTAACGAGGCCTTACATTCCGTAATAGCACTAGCTGGTCGCGGCGATGTTGCGCTGTTACGCCGCACACGTAATTTACGATGCGTCATCGGTGCCGACAGGCTTTACGCGCGATAAACGTTACCTTCACGCTCGCTCCCTCGACCCGCATTATTCCTTCTTTGTTGTCGTTAACTTGTCGTTACCCCCCTCCTTATCATCTGTATATTTATATTCTTAATATGACCAGATGAATTATTCCCCCGAAACGATGGTCCGTATTCTGAGTTCACTTTTATCGACAAAAGTGCCTCTGAAAGTGGCGCAGGAACCACCCGATTGGTTGAGAAATCACATTAACCTTGCTGTTTTGCTCGGGCCTGTATGACCCGAAATCACTCTTACTTCCCTGTTACATTGTTATATGATGAATGAGTGAGCGTGCTGGCATTTCAAATTAATGTTCTTGAGCTACGAAGCCAAGCGAAATGTCAAAACGCTCACTCGAATCACATAAAATCACATAAGAATGTAACAGCGAGATAAAGATGATTTCGGGTCAAATAGACCCGAACAGAACAGCAGAGTGCAAGGCACTTTTATCGATGAAAGCGAGTTCAAAATATGGACCGATGTTTCTGCAGAGAGAGAAAAAGAGAGAGGGAGGAAGAAAGAGAGAGAGAGAGAGAGAACGTCGGAGACCGAGGTTGGCTGAAGTTGTCAGGATTAACCGTGACGTCGAGGTCAACCATCGATTACTCAGTCTCGAGCGATCGCGAATGAGAGAGAGTGAGCGAGCGAACGAGTGGAAGGAAGAGAGCAAGCGAGCGAGGCTACTTCCGATCGCAGCCGATCTCGTTCTCCCCACTCTTCTTCGCGCCGTCGTATCGGCGAATCAGCTGATTATTGTTTTCGTTCTTTGGGGACAGCCAAGTAGACGGCCGCGAGCGCGCGATGTTGACGCACGCACGCACACACACACGCGTACCCCGACTACGACGACGTTGACGCCAACGCGAAACGGTAGCAGCCAGTGGCGGATCCGTCGCGCATTTCGCCCGCGTCCAGTCGCGCAGTGCGGACCGTCGCTTACGTCGCGTGCGTGTTATCACAGTGCCCGTTATCGTCGCGCGCTCGTCGTCGTGCCCACGACGAGTGGACCCCGTGAAAGACAGAGAACGGAAAAAGGAGAGAGAAATAAAGGAGGGGGAGAGAGAGAGAGAGAGAAACGCGAACGGAGTGCGAAGCGAGAGGAAGCCGCACGCGCGCCACTACGTCGTGGCGCGTTTCCCCGACGGCGAAAACCCGAGGATCGACGTTTCGCGCGGGTGACATCATTGTCGTCCACTGGCTACTCGCTCGTTCAACCGATCGACCGCTCGTTCGTTTGTCTGCCCGCCCGCCTGCTCATCGGCTCGCTTTGTCAGTCGCACGCAGAATGACGCAGTAGACGGACGCAGTGCGCGCGAAGGTGACAGGCCCCACGCACCATGAGAAGACACGGTGTCGCACGGTGAAGTAAGTTGCCCGACCACCGATGGTGTTCCCTCCGTCTCCCCCCCCC